CCGTAAAATGGAGCCCAGGTAAAAGGCACACACATTTTCTCACGCCTCGTCACTCCGCATAGAGTTTCATCTCTTGCACTCTGTACCGCTGCTCGGTTTTGGTAAAGCGTTGGAAATAAGAAACAAGAATCTGGTATTCTTAATTGTTCGCATCCTGATGAGAGAGAATAGTAACAACTGCTATGCTAGTATCATGTGTTGCTATCAAAGAAACATGCTTACAACCGGGTGGCACAGGTATCGAAGGAACTTATCAGGAGGCTAATGAGGGCCCTTGCTCCGGCATTGGCCTCCTCCGTCCAAGTAACAGATTGCCTTTGTTTATTAGATCCGCCAAAGCAGCAGCGATCCGAGCATATTCATTAAAATTTAAGTAATCAGATGCAAGCCGGTAGTGTGTCGCATCGTCCGTGTGCAAAAACAAACAAAAGCCTTGCCCTGACTGCTTGGATTTTTGCTAAAAATGGCTCTTATCCCGCAGTCGAAGCATGGACTCCCGGCAAACACTGGCCTGTCACACGTACCACAACGTTTCCCACAGCAGCTAAAGCACGCTTCACGTGTTGTAGATGATTTTGATGTTTCGACTGAAGATACAAGCGTCACCCATGTAACCAGCCATCCACATTTCCTTTTTAAGCTCATTAAAAATTCGAGTAAGGTGCCGTTGTAGTGCGGATGAGGCATCCTCAAGTCTCTACGGCCAATAAATATGCTTGAGTTTAGGGGTGTGAGTGGTGTGTGAGTGTGGAATGCCGAATTGTGCCTGACATCTGAGTGAATGAGACCTGCCAACGGCGTTCGTGAAGTCAGATATGGCACAGACAGTTGATCCGTGTAATTTGTCAAGTACTCCACCATTATGGGTCACCTGTAACTTCTCTTCCGAATTGCCCATGCGCAGGGGCTTTAAGCTAGCGCACATGCTCCAGCTTTTGTTTTTTATTTTGAAGCAGACACGAACTTACACCCAAAGCGTTGGTTGATTCCTGCACGTTGTCTTTCTCTTAGAAGCTCCTCTGTCTGCAATTCAAACTCTTCCATCTGCTACTATGGTTTCTGATATAGAGGAACAAAGCTTGAGGCAGGCCCGAAGATTAGCTCAATATGGGGCGCTGGACGACCAGCACGTGGGTAGCCTGTCATTATTTTAAAACTCCGCAAATCCCTTGAGATTCCTATTCTTGCTGTTTCTCGGCTAGAGTTTACCCACATGTCTTTTTCAAAGCAGTAACGAAACCAGCAATACGGAAGCCATGTTCAAAACTGTCTTCTCTGTCTGCTCTGCTGAGCCGCCGCATGGAGACTCCGCTTCAAGTTGCTGGATTACCTACTCCACGCCACTAACCGCAGATGAAATAAGCGTTTTCAAAGAGTACGAGTGTTGCTTATTCTAGCACTTCATGGCGCACTAACCTTCACAGCGTCCAGTGTCACACGCTTACACGCTTCCCGTGGGGTCATACACTGCACAGCTAAGAATACATCTTTCTGTGGAGGTTCAACGTGAAAGTCATGTACCATGGCCGTAGAGCCCATTTTGGATGCGAAGTAGCGCTTACTTAGCGTAGCATTGCCAGTTCTTTCGTTCTGCCGTCACTCAGCGAGCCAGAGTCATGAAGACTGAGCAAACGAGTGGATTGGTAGACTACACTTCTGCACTGTCTCCTCAAATAACAAATCCACTTCACATCGAGCTTCATCTAACGCTCGTTATTTTTGACTATTATTATGATATAGTATTGGCGCAGAATCGACCTGTCATAGGTGTCCAACTGAGGCAATATCCTCGTATTAGCCCCATTCATTTCGCCGCAGCCGGCGTGGGAAGCTCCCCGTTTTCCCTGATAGGTCCATTGCCTGCCAAACAGCTTGCTTTATTGACCCCAGATTTGATCACGTCCTTCGGGGTGTTTGTGTGCTCGTATAGGTCCGGAATAAAAGCCCCGACTTCCCACCATACAATCGAATCCGTTGTGGGGAAACACTCCTCGCTGCTTAGGAGAGCGAGGTCTTTCTATACTTCTTTTCCCGTTCATTTAAGAATGTAAGCTAGGGCCAGCCGACATAGGTCCGGCATCCAGATATTGTAGATCCCCAATAGGTTCCTGTTTTTCGCAAGAACCTGTGTTCCACTTTGGCGCTCCCTACTAATCCATTTATATCATCAACAAAGTACTAGTAAGGAACCGCCTATTTGCTTTGATTCTTAGCATACCTTATTTATTGCAAAATTGGCTTTGCTTGAAACAACAAAACGCAGTGTTTTGGGTGTTATGCGCAATTAGCTGTGAATTCTCCGAGTGCTCAGAGGGTGCAACTAACCACACCCTAGCTCTCCCCCTCTCCTCACCTCGAGAACTCTGAAGGTAACGAAGAGGGGAAGGAGCGAGCGTTTATGGTCGATATGCAATAAATTGCAACGAAGTTCTTGGGGGAGCACTCAATAACTCTCGTTAAGGATCCATGGATTTGGGAGTCAAGCATCATCCTATTGAAATGCTTGATGGAGCGTTACACTTTTCAGCCAAAGACGTAAGATTTGCGCTCACCAGCTCATGAAACCTCGAGTCCATTGATTGTACACGCTTCATACGTCGGCTATTTGCCCGCTTAGTCACTGCTCATCTGAGAACATCTGACAGGACTCTTCGGGTAGAGGTGAGACAAATCCCTGATAACGCAGCTGCTGGTCTACGTCGTGGTTTTTAAAAGCAAATCCTCATATTTCTTGAACAATAATTCATCGATAGGTTTCCCTACCTTATGGCCCTCCATTCTTTCAAAGCCTTCTGCGGATTTTGTTTCGACGTTTACAGATTAATCAAGGCTTGTACGAAGGCTTGAACTGTAGAAATCCCCACAGCCAGACAAATGACTTTGCAAGAATGGCGCTACAGCCGGATTCCTTTCATCCAACAGGCATGCATTAGGATTGCTCGCTACTTTATTTGGAGAGTACAAGCAAAGTACATCTCCAACCGGCTTACAAAATCTTCGAATACCTTCGATCCTTACTATTGTCATATTCCTCCTGGTAGCAACACCTCATTCATAAAGAGTTTGTCACCTAAAGAATTATCCCCTTCGGCCGACGTTGAAGCTACTACGCGTACATCAACTAGCAGGCGGGTCTCTGCTGCCACAAAAGGCGTCGTTCCATTTCGTCTTTCATCTCCAGAAGGTGCTTTCCCCAGTCTGCTGCCCAGTACCAAACTATCGATTACCAAATAAATTGATCGAAGCCAGAAGATAACAGTTATAGGAGAACCTGACATCCCACTGCATCCACAGCCACTGAATGGGCGATAAATAGCTTGACTCAACTGTGCGGTGTTAAGAACTAGAACGGTCCTCTTCTAGGATCCACAGGAAGCATCTAGTTCCAGACTCAGTACAAACGTAGACCGTTTCAAGAAGAATTCCCTCCTTGTGCTCCTGCAATTCAGGGTTCCTAACACGGGGAGCGAGGGGAACTACGGGGGCGTAGCTGCACCCTGTAAGTACTTCAAGAACTCACGGTTTGTTATACATTGCAACGTGTGGCGCACGTGCAACATTGCTTCTTATTAAATCAAAATCAGGCTACTATGCAGCAAGATATACGATCAGCCAAACCAAGTAGTCGACTTGTGCGCAATTTCCAATTGTAGGAGTTGCCCGTTACACGAGCAGTGCCTTCCTTAAAGCACGAAATTCGGCAAGCTAGGGTTACGCGCCGTGTGCAATTTCTGACGGCAATGCGGATATTTCCTCTTTACCCGACTAGAAAACTCTTAGCACACCGGTATCTTCACGTAACCCAATGTGCGCCAGTCAACTGCGGTGTTTCTACTCATCGATCTTGAAAAGGGTAACATTGCAGAGATGAAGGCGTGCCTGCAAATCGCGTTCCGTAAGGCTACTTTTCCTCTCACGCGCTCTCGCGCTCCAACCATACGCCGGCTGAAGCAACAGTGCCACGAACCTTCATATAAGGACGAGGAGAAAGAGTTTCTCAGACTCTCGAAGCGATTCACATACCCAACGCATAAAAGCTCCTGCCCGTAACTTGGCCCGTACGCTAGACATAGCAGGTTTCATTCCTTAGGGTCAATTATGCTTGATAAGGGCGAATTTCCGGGAGTGCGAAATAATTTGATTTTCAAAAGGTTAAAAGAATTACCGGCATCAGCCGGTCCATATATATACATATGTACATATATATGCCTGTATGGAAACCCCAGCAGCCAATGCGGGAATTTGTAGAATCGGACCGCAAGTTGCAGCTAGATTCTCCCCTTCTTTCCTTTTGGCTTCGAGCAGCGAGTGAGATGCGAGACGCACTCAAGCAAGCAGCCAAGAGGTAGCCATCCCTGCAAGGTTGCTGCATGTTCGCTTCCCAATACCTCCAGGCCTTAGCCATAGGTGACGCTAAGCTTCCTACTGTTCATTTTAGCCGCTGTGAGGAAACACCTTGACCTCTAGAACGCAAGCGCCGTGGGCTAGGCAGGGGACCCTTAAAAGAGGCACTGAGAGAAAGAGGCGCAGATCTAGACAAGACGCGCAACAAACAAACCGAGGAAGTAGCTGCAATGCAAGACACATAGCGACGATTGATTTCCTCCATTCATTCAAAAACTTTAGTGGAGCCAGTTTGTTCACGGGGAGTTCTCGAATTCTGCGAGATGAACTCGTAAGACACCTCGACCACGTGCACCCTATAAAGGTCTTCATCACTATCTCGGTGGGTTCCTCAAGTCCTCTCCCTTATGGAGCGAAGCCTCGAGGACTAAAAGGCTCTCGAGAAAATCCAGAACCTCGCGAAGCCTTTTAATCGGACGACGCGTGGATCCTCCGCAGGTGTCACTACACCGCAAGGCCCTTACAGAACCACCACAAGTGCAGGCCGAGAAGAATTTTCGGCGGCTGCTGCATGCGACCGTGCTGTTGCTACTGCCTCCAGAGCAGTAATGGCCTTTTCTGCTTTTGCTGTGGCGTCTTGTCTTGCGACTGCTGCCGCTGCTGCTGCTGCATCTGCCTCTTGTCGCCTTGCTGCCGCTCCGGCTGCTGCTGCCGCTGCTGCGTCTTCGGCCTCCTGTCGCCGCTGCTGCAACTGCTGCAGTTCCTTGTAAGCTTCCCTGGCAGCAGCAGCAGCGGCCGTTGCCGCCGATTTGCACGAGGCAGCCTCCCGCTCTGCTACTGCTTCGGCTTCTGCTGCAGCGCACGCTGCAGCAGAAGCCGCAGCACTTGCAGCATCCGCCTCGTGAGCTATTCTCTCAGTCTCTGCCGCAGCAGCCCTTGCCCGCTGAGCCTCACGAGCAGCCGCTGCTCTTCTCTCCTTTGCAGCCATCGCTGCTGTTGCTGCTCTTGCTGCTGCCTCCTGCGCCTTCTCTAGCTGGCGCTGCAGCTCTGCTGCATTTTCACGAGCTGCAACCGCTCTTGCTGCTGCTGTTACGCTGCGGCGGGTTGCGGCCTCAGCAGTAGCCGCAGCAGCAACAGCGTCGTCGCGCAACGCAGCAGCTGTCTGCCTGGCCTCTGCAGAGAGCTCGTTTACAGCGGCAACACCTGCTCCCGCTGCTGCTGTGTTTGTAAAGGGACAGGGTGTCTGCTGTTGCATCACGATGCAACGGCGAACCAGTGGCAGCCTCAAGATTTCCAATCATTCAGTGTATGGTGTCAGGGGATAAATAGTCGGGGCAGGCAGCACTATGGGCCTGTGGAAGACCCCTAGGGCGAGGGCCCCCTAGAAACTTGCCGAGCTGCTGTTAAGCCGAGGAGGGAAGTAAAGGGAAGGAACAGTGAGACGCTTGTCTACACCGAAGCTAAATATCTGTATGAGGAGATGTTTGGTGTCAGTCGTGCATATTCACGTGCACGAACTCATTATACCGGGAAGCGCAGGTCTCGGTTGCTGCTGTACTTTGCTAGCTCAGTCCCACGCAGCACGTGCCCGTCCAAGTGTCCTTTCCTCTAGAACGAACGGAAATATATTTGTTTTAAAGAGAATGTATTCTCAATATGGCCGTAAAATGCAAAATTATCCGCAGACAGAGGCGCGAATGTGTAAATACGCGTATGTGTGTGTTTAGGGAGTTCGGTGTGGGTATATGCATATGCATCATACCAGTTGGCACAGAGACCTAGCCTCCTTCTAAAACATCCTGCGGTGGCATATCTCGAATCCTGTGGCTTTTAAGCAAGCGGTGGTCCTGTGTGGTGTTAGAAGAACCGTCGTGCGGTTGGCAGGCAGACACGTTTCCTGTGAGGAGAGGCAATATTAAAAGGTTGATAGATGCACACCAGAGGTTTGAAGGTTTTGAGCCTCCTTACAAGAAGAATTCGATACTTTTTTTCGAGGCGATGTGTTCTTGTCGTCTCAACTCTTCGCTGTCTCCACACACGAATCTAAAGGTACAAGTATGTGCAGGAGAAATCAAGGTTTCCGCCAAATCTAGAGGGCTGTCTGTTAGGCTCAACATTCATTCCAAAGCAATGAATTTTGTCCTCTGGGCATTTAGCGGAGTCTCTGCGTACAAACGCGCTGGCACAAGAACAGGAAAATCAAAGGTCTTCGTCATACCTACAAGTTTGTTCGTGCGTAACCATGAGGATAAAGTGAGCCCCACCCTAGTTTCTGCGTATTTAATGAGGCTTCGTTGGGCGGAGAGTGCGAGACAGACCGCAGAGTAAGGCAGCACGTAGCGGGCTAAGCTACACTTTGGCACTTGCTCCTACACTGGCCAAATCTTCTTGGAATGGGCAAAATCGCCTTTTGTTCGGCTGCTCTCATGGCACATATTTCGCAGAGTAGCGCTTGTTCAATATATGAAGGCACATATTTAGTATGCGTGATGGTTGAATGCTATGGCAAACGAGCTGTGAAGCCTCCCATTGCTTCGAGGTAGCAGTTCGACACACCCCAGCTCTCCCTCCCCCATCACATCTGAACCCCGCGGGGTGCGATGAGGCGAGTACTTGAATTCATTTGCTCAGTCTCCAGAAACTTTCTATCCAGTTCGTATCGAATCAGGGGTTTAGGATCTACCTACGGCCACCATAGATGGATCGTTACTCAGGGAACAAGGGACTGCGGCACGTGAGCGACATGCGCTAGTATGGCCAGGACGGGCAAAGAACGAAGTGCTAGCGAGGCACATGCATGCATCCACCAACTCACCCACATGAGTAGACAGGTAGAAGAACATGCAGAGAGGCATTTTCCATCAAGACGCAGCGTGTTGAGATATCTATGACCCGATCTCGTTGGTGCATATCCAAAGATATGGTACATGGATAGACAAAGAAGGACCCCCCTGATGAAGGTCAGAGCGCACGCTCTCGACACTGAGCGAGGCAAAACGGCGTGGAGACCCCTCCACCCCCAGATATCAACTGGAAGCGCGAGGAAACTGAGCTTTGAATTTGTGCAAAAAGTTGTATGACCAAACCTAATGCCTCGCGCAGGCCCTCCTACGTGGACCCCAGGCCCATACAGGATCTTCCTCTCAACGTAGACAAACAAAAACATGAGCGCTAGTAAGGAAGCAGGCCGACTTCGAACCCCCTTCCAGAGGGTCCTTTGAGCAGGCTCCTTCGAGAATCCAGAGAACCTCTTGAAAGTCACGATGCATGCTGAAAGGCAGCGTCCCCAGTGCAAAAAAATGACCTGCTCACCAGCGCTTAGAAAACCTTCTGAGCAACACCGCCTCCTGAGGGCCCCACGACCAAAAAGCCTACGAAAGACGGCCTCGCAAATCATTCCTTCGACGGCCAGGGTGCGTGAGCTAGCAGCTCACTCCTTTAACGCATACGTGCACGTAAAGCGTATATCCCCTGGTCCACGGTTCCGAGAGGAGAACGACACCCTCTGCTGTTTTGGCAAGCGAAGCGATGGCCTCTCCAAGCTTCATTTTCTTTACCTCTCGAGCCGTTGACGCGCCCATGGCCGAAGAATACATGGACACTGGCGTTGTGGGATGGCAGGCAATGCCACCGCAGGAGGCTTGCTGTTGAGCGACTGCCGCTTCAGTCGCTGCTGCTGCTGGCCGTGCGGACTTAAGGGAGGGGCCCCCAGAGGAGCCCCTGCTAAGAGACCCCCTGGAAGCTCTCGTGACGTCTGTCGTGATCATCTCCGCTACTGCCGTGTATGTGTTGCTTCCCCAGAAGTGTTTTTTCTTTTGCATGCTGGTGGAAATCACGACAGGGCACGAGGGTCCTCCCGAATGCACGATCCTCACGAGCGAAGTGAGGGCCGAGACAACGACGGAATCAGCCGGAAGGACGAAGCCACTGGAGGTACGTGTAAGCTGGATTTGCATGTAGTGAAAGGCCTCTCGGAGGTGCGGATCTCTGCGACACGGCGGGACTGGAAGAGCAGATGTGAAACAAAGGATCTCGACGTCCAAGCGGCGCAGAGCGAGTTGAACGGCCTCGCCTGCTGCGACTCCGTCCATTACAGCAGCAGCGGCGGCATCCACGAAGTTCAGCTGTTGCTGCAGTCTCTCCCACACTGCAGTGAGCTCCTTGGTGGGCGGCTCCACATGGTTCAACATGTGTCGAGCAAGGGTGATGCGGTTGTGAGAGAGGATGCGCGTTGGAGGCGGCCGTGTCTGATCATCTTGAACCTGCCCCAAATACACCACTAGGGAGTGGGGGACGTCTAAGCCCCCTGCCATGTTGGCTTCGTTCACGGCACCTGCCAATCTTTCCGGGAATTCGCTTGGGAGCGCCACTCTCAGCTCCTCAGTGGTCTCGAAAATAAATCTTTCTGGCTCCAGAAAAGGCACGCTGAACACCTCCAAAAGAGACCCCTCCACACGAATCACTGCGTAGGAAGTAGCCTTATGCCCGTAGATGTCTGTGCGCTTCTTCCAGCAAGAGACAGCAGCACGCAGAGCGCTCGGAGGCGGCACAAACAAAGTCGATAGGGGCGTTCCTGAGGACTGCGGGGGTGCCACCCCATACACAAACACTATCCCCACATCCTTGGCTCGCTCTTTTTGCCTCACCAAATGAACTAACACACTACACACGCTTTGCGGACGAGGGCCTGCAAAAGAAGTGCTTAGATCCAAGAACGTGAGCGCCCTACTCAAACGCCTCCGCTCCTGATAATCTTCCAGATCCTTTGCGAACTTATCGACCAGCGTCTCTAACACATGCTCCATAAGGTGCATGGCCGAAAGCTTTTCTGTGAACTCCTCGATCTCTCTTAGCGCACATTGCTGCTGCCGCTGCGCCAAGTGCAGCAACTCTTGACGCGTCAAAATATCAAACAACTGGAGAGTATTCGACATCCTCTCTTGCAGTCTTTGAATATCCTTCTCCGTCAGCAACTTCGCATCTTCGCTCAGCTGCAACAACTCATCTAGCTGCTCGTTGCTGGCTTTGAACTGCCGTACAAGGCCCTCAATCTCTGCCTCAATGGACTCAAGCTCTGTTGCAGCGGCCTGCTTCAACTCTGAGCGATACGCCGAAAGCAGCAGAGACACACGACCCTGCCCTTGCGCCAACAGGTCCTCCACTTTGTCCTCTAGCTCGTTCAATTTCAGCTCGAAGGGCCCTAAAAGGCACAAACAAGCGACAGCAACACACCGAGAAGGCCATGGACAAGAACGAAGGCAGTGGTGCTGCTGGCGCGGTTCTAGAAAAAACATAATACCCAGAGCCAGTTCGCTCTAAACCAACTCGACGAACGGAAATACAAAGCCCTTCCTGCTGCCCGAAACTGCAAACCGCTCCTCCCGCTATACCCCCCCCCCAACCGTTCTTCCTCTTTCCTTCAGCAACACGCAGCTAGGCCTCGCAGAGAAGGGCAGCGCGCAGCGAATCGAAGCGACAAACGTCTTGAAGTCTTTAAGCCTCGTTCCACGACATACTGAATTGATTCGTGACAAGGTCTATGGCAGCATCGGCTCTGGTGGAGAAAGCCTCGCCTAAGCGCTTCACACTCCTCGCTTCCGCTGCAAGACGCTGCCGCATGTGACTCAGACGGGCAGAGAAAAGAGTCACTGCCGTCTTATATCTGAGCGCATGCATCCCCAACGACCCGCACAGCAGAGAACCTCAACCGAGCATCTTAGACACGATCCGAGAAGCCTGCCTCTCCACAGAAACGATGCCACTCGCCAGCGCTACTACAGCAAAAAGAAACGCACACACACACACACTAAGCAGGGCCATCTTTCGACACGCTATGCATGCCGCAGGAGCAGCCATACCTTCGCAATTCATGGTCTAAAGTTTCCTTTGTTTTGTTAAGCCGTAGCTGGATATCCTGACGCTGCTTCTTCTCTCTACCGCTCTCTCCATAGTTCTCAGCATCTAGCACACTCCTGGATTGCTCGGCAAGAGCAGCAAGGCGCGCGGAAGCAAGTTTCATATTTGCCTCCGAAAACTGCTCCTCTCCAACAGCAGAAAGAGAAGTCACATCATGGGCTTCATCCGATGTAACTCCCGCCTCCGCCGATCCCATCCCTGCCGCAGGAAAGGTAAAACTACTGTTAGCCGTCTCTGAAAAAAGCGCAAAAATCCAGATCCATTCGCATCTCGTTACAAACGACCCTCTGCCTCGAAACTCCTGTCTGCTTCTTATGCTGCTTCTGATGCAGCTGCCTCTGCTTTGAACCCACCTGCATCCCCTTCTTCCTCTAGGCGCTGCTTGACCGTTTCAGACTGTGCTGAGGCTTCTTCGGATGCTTCTGCCTGCCCTGCCTTGTCAGCAGAAAAGATGCCGTCTTCCTGAGTCACAGAGCGACCAACCTCAGCCTCTTCTGCAGCTTCAGATGACGCAACTGCCGGTTCTTCTGAGTCTCCTGCTGAGGCTGCCGCATCGGCTGCAGGACTGTCGTCTTCAAGCCTGTCTGCATCTTCTCTGCTCGTCATTCCATCGCTTTCTGCTGCATCTAACGGTTCGGATAAGCGTCCACCTTCAGATGCCGCAGCTGCTGGTTCTTCTGATGCTGTTGCAAACTCGTCTGCAGGGGTGACAGAGACTCCGTCGCCGCGAGCCTGGCGAGAAGTCAAGTCTTCATCAGACTCCCCCGTACGTTGATGATGCTCTTCGCTGCTTGAATCTTCTGCTGCTTCGGGAACCGCCGTCGCTGTTGCTTCTGCCTCTGATTCTGTTGCGGACTCTTCCGCAGGGGCTGCAAAAATGTCATCCTCAGGGTGCCGAAGAGAAGGCACATCTGCATCTTCTGTATTCAGCGGGCTCTCGTTCGCTGCTGCACCTACTGATTCTGCAGCGGCAGCTGCTGCTGCTTCATCGGTTTCCGGCGTTGAATCTGGCTGCTTCTCTGACTGTGGCACTCCTTCAAGAGAAGAAGGCAGTCCATTTTCGTTCTCTAGAGGGTCTATTGACGCCAAAGCCACGGAGCACTGCGTCGCTGCTACTGCCAAGAGCAGCAGAAACACGAAACCCAACAGTCGCACAGGCTGCTCCATCTTGCCGGAGGCATGCAACGAATGATGGGGAGGCTGATGCTGCTGCTGGTAGTTGCCTAGAAGGGCACTCATAGGCACAAGAGGAGGCAGTGGCGCTGAGGATGTAGCCTCACGAGAGCCGCTGCGCGCATCCTGTCTCGCTGGTTGCCTCGTTCCCCCGTCGCTACAGTGCCGCTTGCTGGAGTTGGCGAGATGCCTGTGGCAGATTTTGATTTGGCGCAAAGCCAATGGAAGCAGTTGCTGGCAACAGGAGCATCAGATACGAGACAAAGGGGTGCCTGCCCAGGGAACTTTGCGTTCGCTGCTCCTCTGCTGCTCTGCGTGGCAGCCAAAGCCTAGGCGCTCACATGCGATCTCGGGCCCTTTTGCGACTCAAGAAAGGGTAAGAACAGAGTCAAGAAGTAGCAAATCGCAAAGCAAAAGACATTCAGCCCCCGATGCAGAACTGCTGCTGAACAGTGCTGCAGCTCTGAGGAGCTGCGCTCCCCTCTGCCGGCGGCAAAACTGGTGCTGAATCGAAACCTCAAACCCTATGCCAGTAGTTTCGCCCCCCTCCCAAAGTGCAAAATCCACATGTTCAGAAGCTCTAATTCGCATGCACAATTATAAAAGTGCATTTCTTCGAGAAAATTTACTGGTTTTGCTCGGTAGGAGGCTAGCAATTAGGATTACTCAGTGCTATTTAGTCGCACGTCGTTCTCACCAGTTTACTACGTACAGGGCTTGCGCAGCGCAGGCAGATCCGAGAAGCGCAGCAGGATGCCACTGGTTAAATAAATCCGCCCCTATCATAGAGCCAGTGAACTCACAGCGCTAAATGTCATGCTGTAACGCTAAAATTTCCTTTGTTGAGCTCGTGGGACGCTTGTTCCTCGAGGTGTTACAAACGCCTAGTTTCACCTCCCCAACTCCTGCTCCCCCTCCTTCCTGCGTGTGTGACACAACCAGCCAGCCTGCCCTGTGATTTACGCCTTGTTGCGCACTGGGCCGCCGCTGACTCCCGCCTCCCGCCTCCGGCTCGTCGTGTCTGACTCGAGGATTCAAGGTGTACGTACACCTTGAATCCTCGAGTCAGCGGGCTCTCCAAAAAGCTGCGATCGAGGATACTCAGGCTTGCATGATGCCGCGTCCGATTCTTCAGGGGCCGACTGCGACGGCTGAGGCCGTGTGCGTGCTGCCATCCTCCACGATCAAAGGGGCAGAAGAGGCAGTAGCAGCCGGAGTAGAGGACGCAACACAGTCCGAGTGGCGGTGGTTAGCAGAGGCAACAGAGGATTTCTCGGAGGAGGCGATCCTCGAGGAGCTCCCCGAGAAGGAACAAGAGGCCCTCCTTCAACAGTGGCTTGCGGAAACATCCCAAACCGCTCGCCCAGTAGAATCTCCCCCAGAAGTCTTTCAAGTCACTCCCCCTGCCTCGGCTGGAGTATCGCTTCTCAGCGATGATGACGCATGGACTCTTCCGTCTTCATTCCCACGCGCCTCCCTCCCCAGCGGCCTCCTGGCCGTTCCGTCCGACCCTTTCCTCTCACAAGACTCCCTGCGCACCCCGAGGAAGAGCCGCCACAGCAGAGTGCAGCAGCAAGAGCTGCAGCAGCAGCAAGAGCTGCAGCAGCAAGAGCTGCTTGACCGGGGGCCCCCCCCGCCTCCTACGGCCCTTCCGTGGGGGGGAGGCGGCGCGCAGTGGATTTTGAACGCAGACGAGGTGGTGGAGCAGGAGAAGAACGGGGTTCTCGTCCTTCAGTTCCCGCAGTCGGGGTGTACATACACCTCAAGCGCAGGCGCTGCTGGAGGCGCGGCGAGCGTCCATCACCAGGCGCCGGGGCAAGAGGCCCTCTGGGAAGTTACCCCCGCAGCCACTACCAAGAGCGGCAGCCTAGTCGTGAAGAAAGTCGCCATAGATGGGGAGCGCAGTATGCCTGCGTGGCTGCTGCGCTGCATATGCCTCGCTCAAAACGCAGCGGCTTGTGTGGGCTCCCCCCACGGAGCCCAGGGGGCCCACGAGGAACCGCAAGACGGCTGCGCAGCGCGGTTGTTGCTGCCAGTGTACGATGTGCATGTGGCCTCTACTGCTGCGTATTTCGTTGTTGAAGGGAGCGCACGCTGCTGCTCCCTTGCCGGAGCAGTGCTGCGTCGGAGCTCTCAGGAAGCTCTCCGCTGCAGCTGCGGGAGCGGCAGCGACTCCTTCCTGAGAACCTCGACGCACGTGCAGTCCCCCAAAGCCGACGCTGGCGGCGGCTCCACCGACACCAGCAGCAGCGCAGGGCCGAAATTTCTTGGCTGGGGGTGTGTGGGGTGCCCGCGCCGCTTCCTGTGGCTGTTGCTGTGCGGCTTGGCGTGGCTCCGAGCTCTCCGTCTGCTGCCTTCGACGGTTTCTCCGTCATCGGTGTACTTGAGAGGCCCCTGCCCGTTGAGGCTGTACCTCGCTGTGCCGCCCCTCACGCCGGACGTCGCGTGGGAGCGGGGGGAGGCGCAGCAGCAGCCGCCTGGGGACGTCTCCTGGCTGGCGCATCAGCTCCCTCCGAGCTGCTGGGTTCCCCCCGAAAGGCGCGCAGCAGAGGCTGCAAGGGAAGCGCAGCCGAGTGCGACGTGCTCGGAAAGCCGCCACGAGACGCACTGGGGCCCGTCGTGCAGCCCAGAGGACGGCGAGGCGGCAGTCGTCTGGGGCGTTGGCGTGTGCCTTTTGGCTCATTTGCTGCTGCAGCAGCATGGGCGGCAGACAGAAGAGGCGCAGCCAGTGCGCGTGCAGCGGCCGAAGCAACGGGCGCAGCCGGAGGCGCGGCTGGAGGCGTTGAAGCGCGAGGATTCTGGGAGTAGGAGGAGCCTCGGGGGCAGGCTCTCCGTAGACGCCGCCGCAGCGGACGAGGTGCTCTGGCCCTCCGGGGAGTCTCTCGCCCTACGCCGCAGGCGCAGTTGCGGCTTGCCGGAAGACTTGCTGCTGTTGCAGCAAGAGCGAGAAGGCGCCGCTGCCGCTGTGGCAGCGGCAAGCCAGGAGCTTGTGGATACCTGCGAAGGGACCTCCGCAGGCGATGCAGGGCAGCTGCCTGCATCGCTGCTAGCAGCAGCTTCGGAGGGCGCTGCCCCCTTCATGGTCTACGAAGCCAACGGCGAACTCAGCAGCAGCAGCCTCTTGAAGGCGCTGCCACAGCTCGCAACCGACCCTCTAGGCTTGCGTCTGCTGCAGCTGTTTCTGCACGCAGCCCCCAGAGCCCGCATCTCCCTTGACGACGCGCTCTCGCATCCCTGGTTCCAGGAAATCAGAGCAGATATTGCCGCCGCAGGAAGCAAAGCCTGCTCCTGTGGTCGCGGTAGGGGGAGCTCTAGTGACAGCACCAGCAGGGAGGGCGAGTGGAGCGACATCGAGCCGAAGCGCTCTTGCGCCGCAGCGGAGTGGGTAAGTGCAGTCGCACGCGCCTCCCAGCGTTCATCGGCGGAGGCAGCGCAGGGCGAGGAGTGGCTGCTCTCCTTTCTCGACAGACTGGGCTTATCGCCCTCTCGAACAGGCTCTGCAACGAAACCAAGGCCCTTTGAGACCTGCTCCCCCACTGCGTGCTGCTCAAGGGGGTGTCCGCTGCAGGTGCTGTAACAGCATGCTGTTGCAGCACCTGCACGCAGACGACTCTAACGTCAGCTGCAAAGTCTAGCGATACGCTGACGCTTTGGTGTAAGGCGAAGCCACGCGTCTTGCGGGGACTACCAGACGCCCCTGCAGCGCGATTCTGCGTGCCCCGCCCTTATAATTTTCTTGCCTTCGGGCACTGCGTGTAACTGCTGCTGCTGTTGGCATTTAAACGGCATGCGCTGCCTCCCTCTTCGCAGCTCGCTGAGCCGAGACGCGGCGGCGGGCTGTGCTAGTCACGATATGTATTGCAGGGAAACCCTTGTTTATGGGCTTTCAGACTTTCGACGCGCACACAAATTACAGGCATGCATGGAGCGTGCTAAGTGGATGCAAAAGAATAACTGGGCAGTAATAGGCCCCTCATGCTGCTCCGTCTCATTAGCCTGATGAAACGCTCAAGGCCGCTTTGCCGGTGCCGCATGCACACGTACCCTACCCGTGCACGCAACGCCACACCGTCACTGCCCCCGCTCACTGCAGTCCCTTAGGGCGCGCGTGCCCGTTATAGAAGAAGGCGCCCTTTGGCAGTGTGTTACGTGGATTTCGGTTTTCAGAGGCTTTCTTACAAGACGGTTGGAGGCATGCCTCCGGCAGCTGCGGCCACCTTTCTCTATGACCCTCACAACAATCGAGGGGTGGGTACTGCGCGTACTTGGGAAGTGGGGGTGCTGGCAACTGGAGAGGGGGAATTCGGATGAGCATTGTTGGGCTTTTGACTGAGCCGTGTAGGTGATCGGACGCATGGAATCTGGCGTGATAGGTGATGAGCAGCACTGTGTTCCGATGATTGATGAGGTGGTTATTTGCGCTGAATCGAGGGTGTTTGACACGTGATTGTGAGGATGGCTTCTAGAGTGTTGCAGCACATTCCGTAGCTGCTCTTTCAGTTTGCCTTCAGGTGCAACCCCTAGTGACCTCACGACAAAGGGAGCAGCTGGAAGGAGAGCACCTGTTCAAAAGCAGTACTGATCTCTATTGCAGCTAGAACTTGTGATCTTTTGCAATGTGAATTTTCTGAGGGAAGCAGGACCCAGCCAGAGCGATTCGGAGTGCCGCCGTCGAGGGGCGTTTTCCGCCACGTTGATGAAAAAGCATCGCCTATTGCCGCGAGAAACTGGAATATATACACTTGTGTTTATGTATTCCATAATTTTTCCTACCAAAATTGTTTCATATGAAGCATTTGCGTCTCGGTCTTGGTCAGTGGGTCCGGAGGCACAAGATGTGTAGATTGTAAATCTTCAGCAAAGGGGTGCGTATAGAGAGCAAGTAAATCCCCTAAGCGCTAAGTATCCTACGGTCCAAAATCGGTACATCTGTGGAAAACATGGTGCTTTCTTGCTCGGTTCCAACGTTCCACCGACAAGACACTATGCAGTGTTGGGGTCCTTGATCCCGCATGCAGTTGTAGGAGTATGCTGCTTGAATGCCCCCGCCTTCTGCTGCACTTCGTCTTCTCTCTGCGCTATATCTTGCTACTTTAATCCCTTTACACCTGTGGTGCTTGAAAGCTCAGGACTGCCACTGAGATCCAGGATTGCGTCGTTAGGGGTTGGGTCCAGTTTACTTCCTGGAACCCACAGGACTGGCCAGGCACTCCCACCAAGGGATTACCGTCAAGAGTCTATGGCTGCATAGGAGGGGTAGCGAGGATGCTACGGCCTCGCTTCTTCCTTGCCGGGTTGCGGCTGCGGCGGATTGGCGAGTGCTCCAGCTGCTACAGCGCGAACAGCTACACCAGCAGCGTAAAAAGAAGGCGCATGGCAAAAATCGACATGTATGGCAGCTGCTGCAGCGCCTCGCCTTCCAGCTTAGGGGTTGGCCCTCAACATCGTCTAACTTACAGCTCCCTTCACCGCGTGCAGAGCTTCCACGCACACGATCCTCCACCCGCATCTGACACAGCCATGTAAATCTGAACTCCTAACCTTAGAGCCTAAGATCAACAAGGTGTCCAGCTAGCGCTGTGGTGCACCCTGAAAGTCGAGGCTTCAAGATACCTACTGGTCATGCCATATGAAGGACTCTGCAACCCGAACAGAAAGTCGCTTCGACTTTGATGCTGCGCAGTGTATCTCTAACCCCAAACCCGCAATCGTCAGAATCTCACACTGGTGGTCGCTTGAAGGTTGTGTGCGCAGATCTTTTGCATTTGTTGAGGATGATGGCAAAGAGACGGCCGTGCAAGTGCCCGAGGGAACGACGATCCTTGAAGCCGCCCATTCCAATGATGTTCCTCTCGAAGGTAAACATCGATAAACAATAAGTGCAATATGATTCGCATTATCTTGCGTAGCCTGATCGAGCGGGGTCTACCGCGGCAGGCTTGTCCATCGCTTGGCGATTACGTATGCTGTCGCTACACCTGCTTCACCCTCAAGCGAATCCGAGGTGACTGAAGCCAGAGGTTTCTCAAGGAGGGGGCGGCAGCGTGTAGTGGCTGCAACACTTGTACACCTGCCTTCCTGAGGACCGAGAGTTTTCGTTTTAGGCTCATGTGAGGGTCAGTGTTCGTGTTCTACGTGTCACGTCATTCTGAGCGACGAATTGTATGAGGCACTGCCGGAGCCGTCCGTCGAAGAGGAGGACATGCTAGACTTGGCTGCTTGTCTTACAGACACGTAAGCGTCAAGCGTAAAATTCCCAGCTTTAGTGTTCCTCATGTGCGTACGGATTCGCTCATGTGCTTGCTCAAGCTGCGTCTACACTGCATGAAGTCTAAAACCATAGAAAAGCCCTGTGTGTGCCTGCACCCCCTGTGCTTCCTCAATTCGTCTGCTGCCACTCGTTGTGAAGACTTGCGGGTTATTATGGATCATAGCGGGACCTATGGAAATTCAAATTCTCGGGTGTCGTGATGCAGGTCGCGTCTGGGTTGTCAGATTCGCGTAAACAAGCATTTTGAAGGCGAGAAGATAAAGTTGCCTGCCATTACACGCAACTTTTTCGTGGACGGCCACAAGCCATCCCCACATTAGACCAGTCTGCTTGCCACCCTTGCTCCTCCTATTGTTTTGTTTCGCGCATAACAGTGGCGTAAACGTGCGGGGCAGGGGCGCCAAGAGCGTTTAGTCGCCGGCCTCGAACCTTTTTCCGAGACTGTAAGTTAGCACGTAGTACACAACCACTACCGAAAAAACGTAGCACACGATTAGCCCGATGATAAGATAAGCCACCCAACCGAGCCCTTGAAGTCAATCAAATTCGACAGTGAGACGCAGAACTGCTTCACAACGTAACTTTATCTGAACCACTTACCGGTTGGTGCTTGAGGAAGCTGGCTGCCTACTAAATCCACACCTGTGATGAGGGCCGCGCCGACGGATCCAGAGGTTAGGTAAGTCAGATTGAGCCTTGCTCGGAGGAAGGAAACGAACAGCTGTTGCCGCAGCGCGTTAACAGGGCGTCATGACCGTTCGCCTCTCCCTGCATGAGTGCAGCGCAAACGACTCACCGGGCTTATGTACGCCGGCATAACGTTTTCTGTGACGGCTGCCTTGGTACTTTTCTACCGATAAAGCGTTCACGCAGCTTACCACGCCCAGCAAGCGATACGATCAAGTGGTTCTTTACAAACATCAATAGGAGACCGTCGTGGCATGGCTTGTTGCCGACGCCCCATTGTCTAGCGTTCACGAACTCATGTGCAATGTCGGCCAAGAGACTCGTAGGTAGTGCCTTACCGCAGAAGCTGATTAGCCATGCTATCCGCCGCTTGCTGTACAGTCTGTGTGTCTGTTACCAGCAGCGAAGGCACTACAGCCACCGCTAGCTGGGATGGGCAGCGTCGAGCTAATGCGTCCATCATTGTTGTTCGGAGTAGTCAAACGTGCCTGGAAATGATGAAGTTGACCATCCGCGCATGAATGCGCCCTCTGATCTCGGACTTTGAGGAGTGCAGATTCAAGTTCTGCCTGCTCCTCGGGGGAAAGGAGCTTTTCTGGGTCACAAAACCACGAGTGAGTTTGTCTGGGGGGGAAAAATGTGCGAAACAGCGATGATGTTAGAAAGGTGTCAGATCTGTCAGGGTGGACGCAAAAACAAACCGAGAGGAGAACGTGCATCTTTCCGTGTCTGTGAACGGGTTAGGGAAGGTTGAGGCGGTGTATAGCATTGTCGAGTCTCTGATTGGAGATTTGTTCATTGGAATTCGATAAATATAGTGAGTAACAGCCCGGATGACGAGTATAAAATAGCGGGTTGAATGCTCTCTTACTCTTTTCCTTTGCCATGAGGGTAGAACCCTTTGTGAGTGCCACTGTAAGGGGGAAACGGCTCGAAGCGAAAAGGGCGGCCTTCTTCTTCGCTTGATGAAAAATGGGGAGACAATAAGAAAACTGCAACGATTTTTGTTAGCCCCATTTTATTTGAAGGCTACGAGTATCTTTTCCGCTCTGACTAACTCCATGGTCGTTGGCAGTACATGATACCATGCTCTCCTATGGTTTCGAATGTGGGTGACGGCAAGTGTACGCGCACATGAAAACTCCCAGTGAAGGTGTCAATCCTGGCAGGATCATTCTGCTCCACTTACCAGACTGTCTAATTTCTGTGTAGATCAATTGGTAAATAGCTTTGTCATCATTCAAAAAGCGTCACCTCGAGTTCGCCGACAAGGGAGGGCCTTGCAAGTAGGGCCCCTTTCCGTTTCGGCAGCGGCTTCAGCAATTCCTGGTTTACTGCGATGACTGAATGTCAAAGAATAACCCATTTTCTCTCCTTCCCAAATCTGTCATTGCTTTAAATTTTGTTGGGGTCCTCTGGAATATCAAATTCATTTCCTTTGGTTCCTCGATTGATACGCATTTATGTGCTGCTCTCGCATGTATCCTCGATGAAGGATCAGTCTTCTGTGACAGAGCGACATATGGACTGCAGCCTACACTGTAAATCGATGCTATTCTTTTAATTCATCGTCCTCTATTTGCTTTTCTGCGTCTAAATGCAAGCGCACCTGCGCTGGAGGAACCTTTAGGCACAACTGCCTGGGCGATACGGAATCCCTCGGCAGGTTCCCTGGTGGCCTTATGTAAATAAAGACCACGTTGGTTTTGTGTTCGTTTCACTCCATATGGGGAGAAGACCTGGCCCAAAGGAAGTTGTACTTCGGCTCCACGCCACGTACAGCTGGGCCTGCTTCGCGCCTGACGGTTCTGAGTACACAGAATCTTGAAAAAAATGTGCAGCGGTATACTGATCCCTCCAGCTGCAGTGGTGCATTTCGGTGAAATACCTTGATTCTCTGTTATCCTACTGCAAACAAACACAGATACAAAGTGTTGTTGGCGAAATTCCATAGACCGTTCAGAAAGAATAGCAGACACCAAATGGGCAGAGCAGCGCGATTTTGGGCTGCGGCCATTGCACGGAGATGCACCAGTGGCAAAGAGGTGTTTCCTAAACCTGAATGGGCGAAACTCTGTGAAACTCGAATTTTTCCTGTGCTAAACCAGCTGAGGCCATGCCTCCCCCTCTATGTGGAGATCCTCAAGGCAATGAAACAAGATGACTTTAAGGTCAGGCAGAGCCGCGTTTTAGTCTCAAGCCCTAAACTCTACACCATCGCGATTTGAGGCACGGAGGACACCAGAGCTTGTAAGTGTTGCAATGGTTCGGACTGTGCGGTGTGTGAGCAGCCTCGAGGTCTTATCGTCAACCTCGAGGCTCAAGCTAAACTAGGGGAGTTCTACTTGTGCTGCGCCTACACGCTCAAACCTCGAGGTAGCACACAACCTAGATGAAAAGCTCTCCAGAGCTGACTGCCCCGATGCTCCCTAGGCCGCGCTATTTGCTGGATCGTGCGCTAGCTACTCCTGAGGGACTGAGGGTTTACGGTGTGGCATGTTTCGAAAATGCAGATGTAGAGGCTGCGGAAGGAAACGGAAATAAGCTGTTACAACTCGCCCACCAGACAGCAGAGCAGGAGGTTGAACCCTGGATCGCTACCGTTAGGGTAGGCCTCCTAAACAGATTTAGCGTTTGGGAATTGGAAAGGGCTGTGACTTTAACCATTATCGATGAGGAGGGCACAACATACAGCCATTAGCCCAAAGATTCCTGCAGCTTTCTTGTCGTGCCATACACTGCCTTCCTCCTTCGCATTCCAGATGCGTGCAGCGCTAACGCCCCCAAAACTGCCAGAGTCCTAGAAACCTTCAAACCTCAGTCCTTGGGGGGCTTGCTTTACGCATGCGCTCAGGAGTTCGTGGACGACTATGATGCATCTTTGGCAGCCAAGCTGGAGGAGGCCGCTAAATTCAAAGTGAGCGAAAAAAGCGGCTGCAAGAATCCACGTTAGGGGTGTCCTGCAGTGTGCGGCCTAAAAGATACGTGCGCGCGAATGCACAGAATGCTACGTAGCTCACACACACGAAACGAATCCTGCTCGCCTGCCGATTTTTACTGCCGATCACACGTTATTTTCTTGCACACCGGGAATCGTGGATGCAGTCCTCTGGCGCACACGTCTAGCATGCGCCCTGCGGGTGTGTGTCCTCCGTCTCAGGCCTCTGACGAGGCAACTTTTTGGAATTTGAGCTTTCTTGCAGCGGCGCCTGAACAGTTTTCGCAGTTTCTTGAGGAGGCAGAAAGAAGGCGTGAGCAGGGTGCTGCATCTGCAAAGGCGGGAGAAGGAATACTATAAAACTCTTTCCCTTGCCCTCTACTTCCTGCGCTGCTCTGCACGAGAGACTTAGCCCCTTGCCTAGAAGGGCACCCGTAGAACCGAACCGCAGAGAGAGACTCCGCAAGCCCCCGACTGCCGGCATGTGCGCCGTTCCAGACGTTTTTTCCTCCCTCGCCAGCGCGTACTTACTGCGTCCTCAATCCTTCTTTCTGTGTCAAAGACTGCGGGGGTGCTGGCAGTGTGCGGCTGTTTCTGTCCCCACAGAAGCAGCGGAAGGAAAAGACTTTCTCGCTGCAGACGTTCCTGAAGGCCTCGAACCCCTGGCGGATGCCGTGTACGTTGAACGGCTCTCTCCTGTTTTAAGCGCCCAGTTACGGATCTCTCGCCTCTCTAGTGCCGCTCTTCATGAGCCTTCTTAGCACAAGAAAGTCGCTCTTTAGAGACAGAACTCTCGTGTGGCCCTAGCGCATGTGTGTGTATGTGCGCTTCGTTCTAGGTATGCCGAATGGCTAGCTGCCAGTTCACACCCCGTCAAGGGCGAACTACGGGGTGCCCTGGCGCGGTGGGGGCTCTTGATCACTAAGGAGGAAGTCAGCGACAGAGGCGCTAGGCAGGAGGCGATGGAAGCAGCAGACAGAGAGGACACAAGCCTTTCTCCCGTAGACGATGAAGAGCAGCAGGAAGCGACGCCCGAGAGCCCCCAAACGATCAAAAAGGACGAAAATACCAAACCAGGAGGAAGTTGAGACATCTCAACCGCGTTTATTTACAGGGTGAGGACACCCTTCAAAGAGTCTCACTGACTCACTCTCCGAGGATGTGTGTGCACTACGAACAGTTCTATGGCTGTACCCAACGGACGGCAGGTCAGAGGCAACGTTTCATGCCAGCATCCTTGACGCGCCGAAAGGCCCCCCTTGTAGAAGGCAGCAGGCCTTATCGAGAGGGAGGCTTCAGAATATTTCGAGCTCCGCAGCTTCAGAGTGCTGTGAGGCAGAAGCCTGCGCAGCCTCTGGCCATCCCCTGTCTGCCATAAAGAGGGGGTATCGGAGGGGCGAGACGTTCCACGAATGCCGAGTAAGCGGCTCTGCAGAGACGTTTGCGGAACACAGAGTGACGGTGACACGGTGAGGGCTGCCCTTGCAAGCAGCCGAGGAGGGCCTGCAGACAGAAGCTGAAGAGGAATCGCCAGAAAGGCAGACGCGTAGAGCGCAGTGCGTGCAGAGACACACACACACACAGACACACACAGACACACACAAAGACACACCCAGTGGGAAAGGAGCTGCTCCTGATCTCCCTCTTCCCCCAGAATTTCCGTATCGTCAAATGTATAGCCCTCTTGTTCCCGAGGGTCCAGACACTCCGTGTTTGTCATGTCGAGTCATAAGGGGGCGGGCAAGGCCCCCCTATGAGGCACGGGGCCCTCCAGATCCGAAGTTTTGTCCACTTCGGCTGTAAAATCGGCAAATTTAGTCAGCAGAAATAGAGTAACGGCCTTCATAGAGCTGAAGGAAGCCTTGACCTCCTGGAGCTCGGTCTGTCAGCCAGCGTGTACTCAGTGGGAGTACACCCTGTAAGCCCCCCGGCGTGCTGTTTTGAACACATTTTGAGTGCACACACTCACGAAATAGCAGTATGAAATCGCTAGCAGACGTGTTTTTTCTGTCTACTTCCCTTCTTGACAGCGCCTCGTATCGGCTGTTTGCTGCGCGGAGAACCACGGGGGGTATCAAAATCCCGTCAGAAGGGCCCCCCGCTGCCCTGCCCGCTCGTGTCTTGTACTTCGCTCCGTAGATCGGGCGTGCTGCTCTCGTTTACGAAAAACCTATGGATTTTGTTGATTAGATTCGCCCCTGAGTGTGTGTTTCGGTGCAAGGGAGCCGCCGCTCTCCCTCCTTCCCCCAAGGAGGGGGCCCCCTGCAACCCGCCCTCCAGTAGAGCCGCTCTTCCCGTCGTTGGTCCTCCCTTAGCTCCAAAAGCATTTATCCGATAGTCGAAGCGACCAGAAGACTCCCCGACGCAATCCTGAAGCTTGGACGGCGTGTTCATGACGCATCTCTAGGGGGCATCCTGGAGGGGGGCCCCTCCCTCGCATGGCTACCCCTCGCACTGCGGCAACGCCTGCTATCATACACTCTCCTGGCGCACCCTGTAACTCCTCTTCTCTGAGCACTCCGTTCTCGGGAGAGGCCTCGCAAGAAGGAATGGATTTATCCTGTCCTCCCAATCCCCTTCTGCAGGATGCCTTGTACTCCATACTAGTGCAGTAAGACGCTGAGCGAAAAGCTTTCCCCCTCCGCGCTCCTGCCTTCCAGGAGAGGCTTCCTCAGAGGACCCTTGGCCATGCTTGCATGCCTTTTCACCCCGCAAGGGTACCCCAAGAACGAGAGACTTCCCTCCTCTTGACCCTCCTTCCGCCACCCCACTGGCTTGCACTTGGCCTCTCCTCGCAGCAGCCTCCCACTACTACGCGCCTCTGTGGCTGTCTACCTCTCTGCATGCAGCCTCTCTCTGTGCCTTTCCGCCGCGCAGCCACTCGGCCCGTTAGCAGCAGCAGTCGTAGGAGTAGGCATGCCGTCTGAAGCACGCCAAACGGCGAATGAAAACATGCCTCTGTCTTCTCACGCTTCAGACCTCTCGAAGGCTCTCAGCTGTCGGCGAGCCGTCTCCCTGCGTGTGCATGCGCGCAGAGGCATTCCAGTGCCGTCCGCTGCCATCAGCACGTTCTGCCTGGCGGCGGAGTCGCAGACAGCCTTCGTTCACAAGCTCTTCATTGCAGACCAAGATCAAATCCACTACAAGATAGAAGCCGCAGCAGACTGGCCAGTTGGAACCAGCGGCGCGTTCACGGGGGTTCCCGCTACCGCCTCTGGAGATCCTCCTCCCTCCTCTCCTCCTTTCCATTCGGAGGGTGGCATGCCTCTCGTCTGCGCTGCCTGCCAGCAAAAAAAACGAGGTGAAAATCAGCCTCCTAGCAGAAACTCTCATGGGGCCTCCTGCATCGAAAGAGGCTACAAGCACGTCGCTCGTGTTTGGCCAGCGCAACTCCTCATCTACGTTTCTTACCCCTTTTGCGCCGAAGTCTGGAGCTCCGGAGCTTCAGGTAAGCCACCTGAAGACTTAAGGCCTTTCTCGATGCTCTACGCGCTCATATACCTCTCATCTCACACCCCATCATATCACAAAAAGAAGCTCGAAGGTACACCCTTCAGAGATACATATATAGATATATATATATATCTCTGCATATGTATATATCTATATATATATAGATATGTATATATATTTATCAATATACATATTACATTCATATATATATCTACATCTATATACATGTATGTATGCGCGGCAGAACTATTCGCACACTACCTAGCTGGGAAGCCGCTAGCTTCTTGCAGCGTCGCCCTCCTGAGTCGCAGTCTTCACGGAGCGGATATTTTGATTGAGGTTCAGAACGTCTCTCCAGACTTATCTATCCGTAAGCACCGAGCTGCCAACGCGCTCTTCACACAGACCCCCTCACAGGCAAGAGGCGGCAGCAGCGGCGAAGGGCACTCCCGAGAGATCTACATATGTGTAGCCGTCCACTCACACACTTCAGGCAGCCACAACTTCACAGAGTTTCCCGAGCCTCCCTCCCCGCTGTGATAGGCTCGCTCTTTGGTGTTTTTACGGCCTGCAGGAAGGGAGTTGACGTTGCAATTATCACGCATGCGGCAACGGCTGCAGTGCGGCCCCATCCAACGCTTCCTTCGCTCCGTGCGCCGATCTCTACATACATACACATATATACAATATACCCGCCAAATCTGCCATATATATATACATATATACATATATATGTACAGACATGGAAATGCACATGCATATATATATATATGCATGCATATAGACATATATCTATATGTACAGACATGGACATGCACATGCACATATATCTATATATATGCATGCATTTAGACATATCTCTATGTGTCTCGTTCTGCATATGCCGATACATGCCCAGTGTGTGAGGGGAGAAGGCAGAGAGATGCCGTTGAGACGAAGTCATATGGACTGTTACCTCGAAGCGCCCCTTCCCCGAATGCTGCGCGCGTATAGACTCCCACGGTGGCTGTGGCTAGCCGTAGGCGCTAATTGATGCATGCGCTGATTAGGGCTTTGCGTGTGCGCTGGACGCTTGCAGATCCCCAAAAGACGACCAGGGGAACTAAAGGCCACGCAGCTGCGTTCGTGCGAACGCCTGTGGCTGCTGTACGGCAGCGATTGCATTCTCTACTCCGTGAGCTTTTTTTGCAGTGCTTCTCTGCCTCCATGAAGTCTGCATTCTTGGTCTGGCAGTTTGCGCCGAACCTTACTCCGTGGGTGCTGCTGCTGCTCGCAGTCTAACGGCTCTAGCGACTTCCTTTGGATGCTTGCCTGCCTGCATGCACGCAGATTCACCGCTTCGTCAGCACAGAGATCCTTCGCTGGAGTCTTATGCTCAAATACTGCCAGGTACCCCATAGCCTCAAGGCCGACCCTTTTTAGACGCCTTTCCCCAATTCTAGCTCGGCTGTCTAGCCAGTCCTCATTGCGCACAGACGCTGACAACACATTCCCAAAATCCAGATGTTGCGCTACAGGCATTCGCCAAAGCCGCCACTGAAGGGCCGAAGCGCCTTCCAGCAGCCTCAGCCTCCATAGAACCTCCAGAAGTCATACGCGGTCCGCTCACGATACACATCCACATACACACATGAATATATACATATATATATGCATATATATATGTATATATGTATATACATATATGCATATATATATGTATATATATGTATATATATATATATGCATATATATATGTATATATGTATATATACACATACCATTTGTACAGAAAATAACGTTTGTGGGCTCCTTCCCCCCGCAGCTGGGACAAAAAAAATAGCGCTCTTAAGAGCCTCCCGATGAATTGCAGAGCTTGCGTGCATATTGTCGGTAATTAACAGTAGGATGCCTTTCTGCTCAGACCACCTCGAAGAAGAGCTAGGCTCTCCGGATGAATTGGTGGTGTACTTGGTTCTAGGTGAGGCGCTAGAGCTCCTAGTGGGGCCGCTGATGCGCACACGAGGCTGCGCCAACGATGCTCGCCAAGAGCGCTTCTCCTCAGCTTGCAGCCGCGACGAGGGGAGACGTGTGAGGGCGACAAATCGCAAAGGCTGTGGGCACGACAAAAGCCTCCATGCGCATTCGTCCTCCAAAAAATTTCGCAAACAGCTGCAGCGGCACACTGCAGGAACCAGCAGCTCCCACAACACAAGCAACCCCCACCCTAACCAACCAGACGCACCATCACCTACAGGAAGCGCATATATATATATACATATGTATATGTATGTATGTATTTATATAAACATGCTAGCTTTTGCGTCTCAGGCTTCTCTGCGGCGTGTTTTTCTGAGGCATATTCGGCCGCTACTAGGAGCTTGAGAGCCATAACCCTCAGCGAAATGCGTAGGATACTACACTTGCCCGGCTCCCTGCTCACTCTGATTGTATCCTTGTGTGCTTCCTGCGCGCTTCTTCTCTTTTGCACGCCTTTTGTTTCTTTCAGCGTCTGCCTGATGCCTCTCCGTAGTCTGCACCAGTAGAGTTCCCCAATCGTAGCTCTACTTTTCACCTACTTGTAGCGGAAGACTCCCCAGGCGCTTCTTTCCCTCCCTTCCTCCCTTACTTCCCCTAGGGGGCCCCCGTTCGCCTGTAGCTGTTGGTTGCGTAGCCTGCAGTAGGCAGCAGCCGTTGCATGCACGAGGCTCTAGAAATTCCTCGGGGGGGAGACACCCCAGGCGCAGCCGTCCAACGACGCGCATGCACAAAAGAATAACTGCCCAAAAACCGCGCAAACAGACTGGCATACTACCAGACAGCCCGCCACGCCAGACACAGCTGCTCTCGGGGTGCGATCCGTGTTCGCAGTCATTTCCGTGCAGCCGCACATAGAAGCTGTCGTCCGGAAGGAGCTCATAAAGTTTCACAGACTCTCAAAGCTCGAGTGAAAAACCCTCGCTCGGGAGGGAAAGTCAGCCTGTGCTCCGCAACGCACAGCTATTCGGAGAGACCCTTTGCAGAGGAACTAGCTACTAGACGATGCCGTTCGGCCTTCGCTCCTAACCCCAGTTTGGCGGACGATTGCACGTCAGTGTCGCTGCGATCCTCCATCAGGCTTTTGGTCTGACTTCCCCCAACTCAGACCTACTTCCTTAGTCTTTATCAGGTCCTTACGGACGTGCCACAACTCAAACCTCTCTCATAAAGCTCGTCGGCGGCTGTAGATACGCGGAACGAGCAGTGCAGGCGAACCCCCCCTACGCTCACCTTCCTTGCGCAGTGTGGGGTTCCCCCCTTTCCCTTCCCACCCATTCACACAGCTGACATTCACACACTTGCGCACTTCTGTAAGACTCTCCACCTCCTCAGGCCGTGCTGCCCGCGCTGCGACGCTTCCTCCGTTTTTCAAATGCATGAAATATAAGGGCTTTTTAGCGCGAGTCTGCAGGGACTGAGGGGCATCTCCATGCACTGATTTTCCGCCCTACCAGATGCTTCAAAATCTGTGGCCTCTTTCGAGCCACTTAATTAGGGGCTGATGCCGCCACACGGTATGTGCCTAGCGCTTCTGCGCTCTGCGTTGGTTGGCGTGAGGCAGAAACGTGTATTTTTTTCCACGGAATGCAACGGAGTGCTGTCCAGGAAATGGCAACTTCTCAGGCTGGGGAGCCGACGGCGGCAGGATGGTGGTGGCTGCTACGTGGAGACGTGAAAGAAAGGGGAAGCGCTGCTGTTCGTTTCAAGCACATAAGCACTTCCTTGTATGCAACACACAGAACGGGGCCTCCCAGTAGACCATCCACAACCTGCTGCCTACGCTCAGCGTCAAACCACGACGTCTACGCTCATCGTGCCTTTTTAGCACTCAGTGGCAAACACGCAAACCCCTCCTCGCTGTACACCGCACTAAGGCCATCGCAATGCGGGCTGCGCGCCACACGTTTAATCCGCTAGACCTTCCATTTCGTGTCTGCCTCTCTTCTACCTTCTTCACCGTCCTGTTCCCCACGCACCCGCTGCCTCCCCTCCCCCTTCCCACCACGAAGCCGCCTTCTCTGCTACGCTGGTGCTACGCTGCCCCTTGTGCCTTTCTATCCTTGATCTTTTCTGGCAAAAGGTGGCAGCACCAAATCCTCCAAAAGACCTCCCAGAAGCCCCCCACCTAACCCCCCCTTTGCATGCATGCAGGCACGCACCTCCGCGCTCTAGCTACCAGGTTGGACGTCACATATTGACTCCTACAGGCAGCAAAAATGCCGACTAAAGCCAAGAAGCCTCAAGAAAGCAGCACACGGGGTGACTCCGTCCACATACACAGCCAAATGGCGAGGGAAGGCGAAATACAGGCACGCCTCCCCGAAAAAAGCTGCGAAGGAATGCGCATCTGCATGCACCTGAAACAACCCCCCGCTGCGCATCTCTTTCCTAAGGCCCCCCCCCCCCGCCGTTCATTATGCAGCCCTGTCGGTGCTCGCTGCATTCTGCAGCCTGCTGCTGCTGCTGCCTTGCTCCAGCTTGAGCTGCTGCTGCAGCAGCACCGTCATTCGCTCCAAGATGTCTACTAGCCCGTGGTATTCGACCAGGAGCTCCTGCAAATCCCCCACCTTCAAATGGGCGGCTGAGTGCACGCCGCGAAACGTCTTGGGAGATCGCACGGCCTGAGCGAGCAACAGGCGAGCCTGCTGCTGCTGCGCTTGCAGCTGCCGCTGCAGCAGCAGGGGGGGGCCCCCCCCATGCTGAGGGGGCAGTCCGACGGGGGGCCCCCCAAGGGGCCCCCCTTCGGATGGGGCCGCCCCCCCCCCGCTTTTCTGCAGCTGCGCCAGCGTGCTGAGAGCTGTCGCTGCCGCAGCCAGTGCAGTGCCTGCCCCATCCGTGGCAGCCGTGCTCTTGACAACTGCAGCCGCTTCTTCCTGCCGCAGAGCCTCCTCTGCCTCAGCGAAGCGGCGCTCATACTCGGCGCGATCCATGTGCAGCTGGATGCCTGAGGATCCGACGGACTTGATGAATGCCGCGGCTGAGCAAAAGTGGGTGAAAAAGTAAGCTTCCTCGCCGTGCATTCTTGCGGGATGTCGGTAGGCTGCGACAAACTGAATGTTGCTGTGCAGACGGGGAGGTCTTGCTTTGATGACGGTGTAGATCAGGAGGGGCAGCAAGTCATCTGCAGTTGCAGCCGCTCGCTGCCTCCGCTCCAGAGCAGCCATCAACATCCTGCACCCCGAGAGGATCAGTCGCAGCTTGTCTCGTGGCGCGCGCACTCTGTCGATGCGCACAAACTCTAAGCCCGCCAACTGCAACTCGGGAACTGGCAAAACGTCTCCTCCGAGGATTTTTGGGGCCCCTTCTCCAGCCGCGTCTGCCGCGCGAGAGGCGGAAGAGGGGCTGCTGCCGCCGTTGCTGCCTTCCTGCGCGTCTGACACCCCCAACGGCGAGATCTCGAGGTGCTCTGGTTCCAGCCACGCCAGACACCGCATCTTCCGATCCAAAAACATATCCTCTTCCGCCTCTTCCGGCGTCTCCTTGGGAAGCAACGCGTGCAGCTTCTGAATGAGGAAGCGCTCCAGACCCTCCCCCACCTCCGCGGCATCCCACGCGTCCTGGGGGGCCCCCCGGGGGGCCCCCGAGAAGGCTTCTGTGCGCAGCAGTCGCACCTGCACTCTACCCATGAAGCTGTGCAGCAGCTCCGCAGCCTCCGCACGCGACAGACCGGCAGGAAAGCCTTCGACAAAGCGACGCAGCAACGCCACCACCTCTCCACAAGAGGGATCTTTCAGTCGCTCCAAGAAGAGATTGTAAGGAGTGCGGGGTCGTCCATGGCTTAAGGCAGCGCCTGCTGCCGCAGAATTGCCTCCCCCTGCCACTCCCCTCAGCGGGGAGAGCTCCCCCTGAGGAGGCTCCGCGGAAGCGCCACTCGCGCCAAGGCTGCCGCTTGGCGCTGGCTGCTGGAGCGGCGCAGTGCTGGGGAGACTGGCGTCTGGTCGGAAAGCCAGCCTGCTGGAAAGCTCCGACTCGGCAGCAGACGCGGAGTCTTTCGGCGAGAAAGGCTTCTCCCGCGCTCCTGCTCCCTCAGCATGCAGCGGGCGTCTGCTGCCGCTGCCACTGCAAAGAGAACGCGAAAAAGCCACCCCCGGAGAAGACTCTCCCTCCTGCAACAACCGCTCAAATTCAGTTGTGCCTTGCTGCCGTGCTGCAGCTGCCGCTGCCTCCCCTTCTGGAGCCGTCGCTGCTGCTTCCTGCTGCTGTTGCTGCCTTGTGCCTCCTCCGCGCAACACCCCAAGACCAAACGGCAGCGCCCTCAGCAGCCGACTTGCAGCGCCACCAGCTGCTGCCTGTTGCTGCTCCTGCTGCTGCTGCTGCTGCTGCTGCTTTTGCTGCTTTTGCTGCTCCTGCTGTTGCTGCTCCTGCTTCTGTGGAGCGGGCGCTGGCGAGCTGGAGAGAGCAGCTGGACGCGCACAGGCTTCTCGAGGAGGCTCCGCTTCGGCAATCCTCGTTGCGTGATCTTCTTCTGGCCTTGTTCCCGCGGCTGCGGCTGCAGCAGCCGCCGTTTGCTCCAGCTGGAGAGAATGGCTCGTCGTCGCTTTCTCGAGCTGCGCATCGGGGGATAAGGGGGGCCCCTCGCTGTCGGGGTGTTCAGACAGCAACACTTGACTCGGCAATGCCGCGTCTGCCTCGAGTGGTCTTTCGGGGGGGGAAAAAGCAGATGCCAAGTCGGTGTGGCGTGAGCCTCCCCCCGAGGACGTCTCGGAGCGGCTTCGCGTGTGGACGCCTCCGCTGTCGGAGAGGGGTGTTGGCGTCTCGTCGTTGCTGGGGGGCCCCTCCTCCTCGGAGGGGCCCCCCCCCAGAGACGAGAGCCTCCGACCCTTTTCGTGGGAGTCGGAAGAGGCGCGGCTGTCCGCAGCAACACGAACGTTCAGGAGCGCTTGGGAGGGGGGCCCCCCGGGGGGGCCCCCTCCTTGCGCGGGCAGCAGCGGATGCCACAGCCTCGAAGGCGATGTCGATTGGCTAGCCAGCAGCTCAACAGGTTGAAGCGCTGCTGGAGAAGAGGCCGCAAATTCGCCGCCTTCCTCGAGATGAGATGCTTCCGAGGCTGCCACGCGGGGTGGAAGGCACTCTCCGAGGGCTGAGGCTGACGACGAGTGATTCTCTCCATCATGATTGCCTCGATTGTGATCGCCTCCTCCCTCGAGATCGCCTCCTCCCTCGAGATCGCCTCCTCCATTGCAAGGCAGGCCCTCTGGGGTGTTCAAGTCGTCAGACACATAACTTCCAGTAGAAGGGCTTTTGTCTGAAGCTGGTGAACCGCTTGAGCTCGCAGCTGCTTCAAAAAAAGCCTTGCCACGCGCCTCTCCAAGGCTCGATTGCTCTGTAACAGAGGGCAGAGGGATATGTCCAGAGGCGCTGCTGGCGGCAGAGTGCAACACGTGCAGTGTCTCGACACCACCCCTGCGTACAACAGGCATGTCGTTTGAAAACTCAGCGGACTCGGACTGGAAGACGCATTCGCTTGCGCGAGGGTGGCTACGCTGCAGCGCGCGCATATCGCTTTTTGTTGCTCCCTCTGCGACTAGGCTGCGCTGCTGCTGCTGCTCTTGGAGTGCGATCCAGGAAGGAGGCCGAGTCTGGGGTAAGAGCTGCTGCGGGGATGGCTGCTTCCAAGGATGCTCTGGGGGTCGCTCGGCTGCTGCAGAAGGAGGCAGCCTGTGCGGATACACCTGCTGAGAAGCTGCAGCAGCAGACGGCGGGGGAGTTTCAGGAGGCGCCTTCGGGGGAGGGGGGGGGGTCGAGGAGGACTGCCAGTTTGCCCAACAGCTATCGAGCCCGTCCTGCAGCAGCTGTTGCGGCTGGGAAGCTGCCGGTGCTCCTGACTCGGGGAGCTGCTCGGACTGCGCATTTGTATTGCACACCTTCTCTGCCGCTGCCAGCGAACGAGCGCGAGGTGACGCTGCCGCAGGCGTGTCTTGAAGCTGAATCCGTGAAGGCGGCGGAGGGGCCCCCCACGGGGTCTCAGCGGGCCATAGGGGCCCCTCTGTGCTCCGACGAATGCCTGTCTGTTCGAGAGGCGCCGTTTGCGCGGGTTCTGCCAGCGAGCAAGACGGAGGAAAGACAGCCGTCGCAGCAGCCAGAGAGGGCGAGAAGGCGGCTTCCAAGTCTGTGCCTTTTGGTGGGCCCTTCGGGGAGGCAGCCGCCACGGAAGAAGTCGACGAGGCAGCGCCGGGGAGAGGCGGGAGCTCGCTTGCCGTGGGAGGTGCGCCTGCGTCCAGAGAGAGCAGGCTGTCGAAGCCTGAAAAGGAGCACTCCGGGGGGATCTGAGTCTGCGCATCCTTGCCCGCGACTCCCTGCCCAAAGGGCGAGCGCAAGCCTCCAGGGGGTTCGAACTCCCTAGAGGGGGCCTCTGCAGTTTGGGAGGCCCACATGGCGAGAGGCGCTGGAGTTCTCACCAGTCGCTTGCAACAGCGCGCTCTCCAGCCCTTGTCAGGGAGGTGGGAAGGGGAACTGCGAGGTGTCTGGCAGCCTTCGAAGATCGTGAGAGCCAGATATGCAAAAACGCCTGAAATTGACAGAAGCAAAAAATGATGACAGACGCCGAGTGAACCTGTCTTGGCGACGGCACGGAAGCTGCCTGTCCAGTAGAGCAGCCAGGGCTTTTTGGTCCAAGTCTGTTACAACCTGAACGCCTGTTGTTCCTTTCTGGCACCAAGAAATCTCTTCTAATTATGTTGGGTGGTGCCGTTGATTTTCTCGAAAAATGAATCATTAGAGACAGGCAACCTCTGCGGTGTCGAACTGTCTTGCGAGACCTGGCGAGACATCGTGCTGGAGAGTGCCCCATTAAGGAACGAAAACGGCCAATACAATGAAGGAACTCTACCGATAGCGCCTTCCTCAAATATATATACGAAGAAGGCACTCTTATATCAGTGCTAAACACCTTGTCCCCCAATACTTTGTGCATCTTTGGGGTGTCGTGCTCTTCCTCTCTTGAAGCGCCATCCCGGTTTGCTCGGCGTTTCTTCCTACCAATGAACTGCGAGTTTCCCTCGACAACTCGTATGACCTCATATTTACATGAACATGCAAAAAAGAAATTTCTAGCAGAGGCGCTCTCCGGATCTTCTTTTCATCTCTTGCGAGAATATCTGAAACTGCTTGGAGAAATTCCGTTGTTCACCGTTAGATTCCTTGCGTGCCTTCCGCTGTTGAATGCATGCTATTTTTTCGTTGTTTAGACAAAGTCGGGCGTAATCAGTGGGCAACTAAATCGGTAAACGCCTAATCTCGTGCGCAGTTGTTTCTGGGGCTCCCTTGCACACGATTCACTTGCCTTGCTGCATACGAACCTTAACAGAAATCGCATTCCCCAATATTCGCAGCTGGATGATCTTGCACAATATGCATATCCTACATCGTGCATACTTGGTCCTTTAGTGACAAACCTGCAGAAGGTCTATTAGTGTATTTGGCAAAAGGGAAGAACACTTTCCTCCTGCATACGACGCCACCGGGCTTTTTCCTAAAATGCATGCCACAAGTCTCCATAATGTCAGGCCATAGGACCTTTACTGACCGTGCTTGCAGGAGTTTAGTCCTCCGACACTTTGCCGATGTCCATATTACGGCAATACACCTGGAACGGCACCCCGTACAGCAAGGTGATTTGGGGCGATTAATGGGATTAGAAAAAGGCAATTGCACAGAAAAGGTAGAGGACGTTTGCATTCCACTACCCTGCAGCCTTTTCCAATATACATGGGCGTAAAAGGACACTTTTAGCGATGTTTCTGGGCTGGACTGAAAGGAAGAAGCACAAAACGCTCAAATGCTGTAGGGGACGTAGCTACGGTTCTGGTTATCTTTTACCAATAATTCATTTGTGGCTAATGGTGAGCTGGGATAAATGGTGTACAACAAAAAAAACGTTCAGTCATTTCCTTACTAAAAGACGCAATATCCCCAGCGTGCGGTTTAGATGCTGTATGCAAGTAGCTGTGCATGCTCGGATTGCTTCGAGGGTGCAGCTGCGCGCCGCGCGCTCTTGCTTTTCCTGTCCTATAAATATGTCGGGGACTCTATGAGGCCCCAGAAAGTCAAGGCTGAAGTTTTCCCAAGAACCACATAGTGACTCTCTCCTGAGTTTGTATTCGTACTGGAGTATCAAAGATCTTCCTCGGGAGAACTTACGTAAAACGTTTAAAGGACAGGAACTAGCTTTGTATCGTGGAGTGGGCTGCAGCCGCTTTCCCCTTACCTCTCGCCACCTGGCGGACGTGTACGTCTCCGCAGGTGTTACTGCTAGCGGACCGACTATATGCTTATACTTGCAAGTTGTTTGTCCATTGAACTTTGCTTCACATTTGGATTTCTGCCTCATCCACGTCCACCACTCTTGTTTCTTGAACTCGCCTTCACTTATTTTCCCCTCACTGTATCACTACGTACTATGGTCACAGCACTCTACCTAATATCCTACGGTGAAACTTCAACCCCTCAAGCTCAACGGAAACCTTAACATTGTTTTGTTCAGAACAGCTCCCCATCTCCCTGCCGTCCCCGCTTCTCACGATCTCGGCAGAGCAGGGAAAGGGACAGACAGCTAGAGTGCAGGCGCGCTGCTGCACCCTCTATATAGTTCCACCAATTATGGCTAGTTGCTTGAAACAACGCATTAGTAACCCTTACCGTATGTGGCTAACGGTTTTCTGCAATGGAGAAGATATACGGGCAGTCAAGTCAAGTACCTAGTTCTATCTTATTTCTTTAATGAATATTAGAAATGTAGTAGAAAGTGCCGAAATGTGGCATAGTCTGCTACAACTTGCCCCTGGGGCGCCAGAACCATGATGAGTGAGGGCGACACGGAAACGGGGGAGAATGGAGCAATCAGGAAGAACGTTCCGCATGTCTGAGTGACGTTAAGTATTCGGGTTTGAGGCCAGCTAAGGTCTCTCTATGCTGATCTCAGAAGAGGGGGTTCCACACCCCTAGCGGTCTCCAGCTTTTCTCTGCGCGCGGGCGATCCAACTTCATCACGTGTTAACACCGAGGGCTATTCTAGAGGTACACGTGTGTCAGAATCAATGCAAAAACAGCTTGCGTTTCCACTAACAGCAGCATATGTACTGCGGGAAGCACATACGCAACCATCTCCGTGCTGTTCGCTGAGAGACGGTGCAGTGTGAAAGCGTGCAAGGAGGGCAGACAGAGAAGAAACGCCGACAGTTTCTGCCTCATTCACACGACTCAGCTGGAGCTGCCCATATAAATTGGCTTCCTATGGGGTTCGGGCGCATAAGGGGCCGTGTGTCCTTTGCGTGCATGCACCTTCGGGGCTGCGGCCGCCGCGTCAAGATGCGGAATTGACGGGATTAAAACAGCATTGGGCTTTCTTCTGCAGCGCATATCCACCGTACGTTTTGTAGACGCTCAAGGAAGATCCTGCTCCCTTATACGATGATCCGAAGACCCCATGACCCTGCCTTGACTTTGACCTCTGAATCTTGAAGCCTGCCCAGTGCAGATCCATCCCTGGTAGCTGCATTCTTCGTTGATTGCCTCACTTTGCAGCCGAACTGGAGGAACTTACACATCAGGCATCTTGGAGTCATTCGAAAATCACCCTTCACGGCTACCGGTAGGATGGCGGACGATGAGAATGACCATATGTTCGCTGAACCCACGTTTGGCGATGAATTTGGCGATGAATTTGGAGAAGATGATTTAGGGGAGGAGCTTGAGGGGGACCAAGTGCACGGGGCGGATAATGATGTGGACGTTGTTGCTGATCCGAACGACCCGCGGTTGCAGGTAAGCGCCTTGTACCTTTGGTGCATTATCGCCTCATGTGTTTCGGGAGGCGTTAGGGGTTGTGTGCCCGAATCATGGAAAAAAGGCTTTTTTGACCGACATATGACGTATATTCGTGGCTGTCGCACGTATACGCGCACTCTGGGGTGCTGGGGGTTCCCCAGCGGGCTTGCGAGGTAGGCAAACAGGCAAGGGAGATGTCTCTGTAGGGGTGAGAGCATGACGCAACGCTTGCTGCTGCGTTTTGTGCCTCGTAATGCTGCGTTTCTCAGCGTCCCGACGCACGCCCGAGCGAGGGTCCGCGCATTACAAGTCCGTACATGACAAAGTTTGAGAAGGCCAGGATTATCGGCACCAGGGCGTTACAGATCAGCATGAATGCCCCCATTACCATTCCTCTGGACGGCGAGACAGATCCTTTGATCATTGCCGAAAAGGAGCTGTATCAAAAAACCATTCCCTTCCTCGTCCGGAGGTACCTGCCCGACGGAAGTTTCGAAGACTGGAAAATCCAGGAGCTTGTCATCGACTGAAGCATGCAGCTCATCTCGGCTGTTCATCGTCATCGGTCACCATTCGAAAGGAGTGTGTACGGACTGCCGGCGGAGGACTCACTTAAAGCTGCGTCCAATTCGTGAAGATGGCGTACAGCCTCTTGCGTCAGCGCACCAGGGCAGCATTCCTTAGGAGCAATGCTCTTTAAAAAAGTGTCTTTTTCATGGTCTAGGAAGCTGCATGTCGGCTCGCAGAAAAATCTGTCTGACCTTTATGACCACCTCGGGCCCATGAATGATGGCAGCCCTATGCGAGGATGAATTCATATGCATACAGCTGGCTGGGTGCCTTTTAGCAAGGCAGGTGTGCGCGTTGGGGAGGGAATTCCTGAATGCGGGATGGTTCAAGGGACCTATAAACTTGAAATATGCGGTGTGAGTTCGCTGTTACAGCTCATTAGACATGGCAACTTAGCAAGGTGTCGCTCGAGGTGGCCGATTACGCTTAGCGCCCCGAGGCGGCGATAGAACGAACAAATTTTCAGCAGAGTACATAGGCTTTCTTGAGGTCTACACACGAGCAGAGAACCTCTTTTAATAGGCCAAGCGCATCAGAGCCGCTAGCAGCATCCGCATGCATGTGCATGTGTTTCTTTCGCGCCTAGATGCAGGCTTTCCACATGCTTGTGTGCTCGCTGCTGCCGCTGTGTCTTCTCTATTTGGTACGGGGAGCCTATACACTCCGCGAGGTAAGGTTTCGAGCAGCCCGATCTGCTGCCTCGCTAACCTGCGCATCTCTCCCTCCTTCTGCGCGTGGGAGCCTCTCGCCTAAAACTGGCTTGCTTGCTTGCTTGCGAGCCAGCAGCAGCAGCCGCAGTAGAAGAAAGCGGGAGGAGGGATAAGTACTTGCGTAGACAGAACGGGGCACTTGAAAGATATACGGGCGGCATGCATAGGTACACGACAGCGCCTAGAACCTCGTGTGTGGACTGAACCAACACTCTCTACTCCACGACCCTCCACCAGCAAAGGAAGGATGCGGACGGCCTCAAAAAAGCCTTGCACGCACATTTAGGTAGCCCGCTTCTCTACCTTCGCCCTTTTTTCTTTTTGCGTGTCACGACAACACCCCCCTCCCTATGTCCCTTTCTTCCTTGTAACTCACTGCCACGAAACTCGTCGATCCCGTGGCATCAGCGGGTTAGCCGCGAGAAATTGAGACCCCCAACCCCTCCCCAAAAGAAGAGTAAAAATCGGGGAAGCAAGCAAGCGGATTGCATGTAGTATACGCAAGACTTCGCTCACCACCCCCCCTGCGCAATTCTTGAGGATGAACGTGCACCAGTCCACGCCCAAGTTCGCACACGCAGCCGCATATGCATCTGCACTATTTTTCGCGTTTCTCTTGTCGTAGAAACAGCCGTCGAAGCTGTGAAGAGCAGATCTAGCGAGATTGAGGAAAAGGTTCCCCTCCCCCCCGCCCACGGCTTCACGCCCCCTCCTCTAGTAACCAACACTTATGTTGGCGTCCTACTGTAACAACTTTCTTATTCCCCTGTTAGGCTTCCTTCTGAACTTTGAGCTGCTCAAAGATGAGGAGCCGCCAGAGATGCTTCAAGAAACCCTCCGCCTCGTCATCCAAAAATCGGCTCAGCTCCTCTAAAAGCTCCTTCGGATTGGGCTTCTCAGCAACTCTGTTCAAAATATAATCAATCACCTCCTGCACCAAAGACTCTTCAGCCCCCATGAACTCGATCACCTTCTTGCGCACCCAAGGTCGCAACTTCTTCTCGAAAACATTCGCCTGTTGTACATTCACAAGGCGTACATAAACCTAGATGTGCATGCATACATGCACGCACATACAAGACAGGGGAGCAAGATCGCGACTAAAAAACACACGCATACATATACTTGTATCAGTGTATATACATGTAAGTGCACAAATGTACAGACAAGTCCGGTTCTTGGCAGACGCAGGTGTAGGCGCCTCCACGCGTTGCGGCAATCGTGCGCAGCCATTGAAGTCTTTTTGTAGGCATGTGCATGCACGTGAACACCTTGAAATACGCTCGACACCTCATGGAGAGCAACCCACGCCACCATGCCATCAATGGAAGAAATCTCAAGAGCGTGACGAGATCCGCCAACAGAAATTACCCCTGCAGCCTGACCTGATTGAGGAGCGTCCAGTCAATCTTGTAGGCGAACAGCTCCGCCTTCTCACTTGGCACCCTGAAAGCAAAGCAATAGTGTGTAAAGTGTTCCTTTTTAGGACGCCTATTCTAAGCTCAGCAGGCCGAAGGCGGTGTCTGCGAATCGTTTTATTCAGCGCGAGACAGTCCAGCCTTAGGCAGCTGCGCCAGCCAGCCGCAATCGCTGGAGGGGCGCGTTTCCCTCGCCTCACATGGCAAGAATTTTCTTCGAATGCTCAATAACCTGCATTGTCTCCTTCACCTTGTTGACTTTGTTGACAACATCTCTGTGGTCGTCCAGCTTCGTCAACGGCTTGTGCTTTCTGCCCTCCTCAAGCGCGTCCTCTTCATCTTCAAAGAACTTGCGAAGCTCCTTCGCAGACTTCCTGCTGCTGCTGCTGCTGCTGCTGCTACTGCTGCTGCTCTTTGAAGACTCCTGAGCTCCCAATACAGGGACAAAGACAGAGTGAGTACATACACACATATACATGTACAAATACACACCTACATACACACATATATGAATACACACATACACATATATATACGTACAAATACACATATATACATACACATATATATATATACACACATAAACATACATATATATATATATACATACACATATACATACATATATATATGTATACATATACAAATACACACATACACACATATATATACATATACATACACATACACACCCATACACACGATGCATAACACGCCGTAACCTCGTCCACGCAACTTTCTTAGCTCCACTCGCCATCTCTTGACAAGCAGCACAGCGAGAGAACAAGAAAAAAATGGAATATTTAGCAACCCCTCTCCCTCCCTTTCTCCTTCCCCCATAAAAATCACCTGCTCTCTAATTTTTTCGCGGTCTGCGCTTTTTGCCTTGTCTCTTCTCGAACCATCGTCTCGGCTGCTGCCGCTGCCGCTGCCGCTCAATTTGTGTTTTTCTCTCTCCGAATCTCTCCTGCTGCGTGACTCCAGGTACTCCTGATGGTTCTCCTGCTCGCTGTCAACGCCGCTTAACACACGAGAACCCTTCTTGCCCCCCCCCCCCTGCAAAACTGCCAGCTCCTGCTGCTCTGCTGCGACGTCGTTTGCGTCATCCTCGGCTTCCGCCCTCCTGCGACGCCGTCTCTCGAGGCGGATGCTCGGATCTTCCAACCCCTCCCACCACTCTGCGCGCATGCATGCACCCCCGCGCCGACAGCGACACAGCTAGCTAGCTAGCTAGCTAGCTAAGAAACCCCCCCTCCCCCCTTGCAGCTTCCAAACGTCCACGGGAAGGAGCCTCTTCGACCTTACCGCCCCGCAAGTCTTGCTCGATGAGCTTCCTCTTGTCTTCCGAACTTAATTCCAATTCGCCAACCAACTCCCTAGAAAGAGGCAAACAAGGAGACAGCAAGCGGTGCAGGCTGCCTGCGGCTTCCCACATCAACCCAAGGACGGCTGTCAAACACCGCGCAAAGTGCAAAAAAAGGTCGACCGACGTCTCATGCACAGAGAGCAGCAGCGCTTCCCCTCTCCCCCCGTGCCAGCACAAGGCACATGCAGTGGGGACGGCGTTCCGAGCAAGCGAACGGCAGAATGTGCAGCCGCCACCGAGGCAAACAAAACAAACAGGGAGACAGAGATTCACAGAGAGACGCACACATATATCTACATACATACACAGAGCGAGAGGGAGAGAGAAACGGCGAGAGAATGGAAGGGAGACCATGGTGGGGTTGTGATTCACAACCTACTTTTCTCTGTCAACCGCCAAATTTTGTTCTTGGATTTTCCAGGAGGCTTCTCGTCTTGTGAACTCCCTGAAGGGGAAATACTTCTCACAAAGAGCAATATTATCCCCCAAATGCTGCACCTAAACACCCTGCCGCCCTCCCCCAGCCTGCCTCCAAAGATTGCGCTGTATCGCCAGCTTGATGGCAGACGGCAGGGTTGGTAGGGTTAAGAAAAGCTTCGCACCTTTCGTACTCTGCCTCCCTCCGTCCAGCACTCTGTAAACGTTCTAGTTCGCGTCTGCTCGGCCTGTAATCTTCGTCAATGTATCTGAGCAGGGAGGCACCAGCGCAGAAATAGAGCATAGACACGCCTTGCAACGCAAGCAAAGCATATCGCGGCGCAGCAAAAGCTGCATTGAGGAGTCTCTCAGACGGGAGGGATACGCTGGGCGAGCCAGCAAGCGAGCAAGAGAGGAGAGCAAGCGAGCGAGAAAAGCGGGAAAGGCCGTCTTCCAAGACACTTGAAGCAAACAAAATATACGACACGCGTTGATGCCAAGCCACGCCAAGCTGCAGCTGCACCAATCAAGTGCAGCCAATCAGCTGCAGCAGCAACAGCAGCCAATCAGCAGCAACAGCAGCCAATCAGCAGCAACAGCCCATGCCCCAGCAGCAGCACATTACCACCAACGCACGTTCGCCGATCAGTGCCGTCAGGCGCAATGCGGTAGATCGAATTTTCTGCAGCAGCTGCAATTGCTTCAGGATCTAGCTTCCGAAGTCTGTGGAAAGCCGCTCCTGCGGATGCATCTGCAGCTGCAGAGGTCTTAGCAGAGGCAGCTGCGCTGCTGCTGCTGCTTTGATGCGGCTCTGGAGGCTGCGGAGGAGGTGCAACCTTCGGATCCATCGGCTCAGAATCATCTTCCTCCTGCAAGCGGCGCAAAAGGCAGAAACAACACAGCCTTCTCTTTGAGCCTTCAAGGCAGCTTGCAAGACAAGCTCCTGCCTAATGAGAGGATGGGCAGCCTCCTTTTCAGAGCAGCATCTCCGTGAAAAAACCACGTACGTCACTGCTTTTGCGCAGCCTCCGCACTGCCCCCGAGCCAATCTGCATCCAATCCTCCATATATATATATATATATGCAGCAGCCGCTCTGCCAACAGCCTACCGGCAGATGCACATTCTTCCTATTCAAAAGCTCCTGCACGGCCTCCTTCAGCTTCGCATACTCAGCCTCAATCTCCGCCTCGACAGCCTCGCGCGTCTTGTGCTTGTACTGACGCAATCGCATGCAGACGCAGGCACACCCAAGAAGCCCACAAGCACCTCAAAACTGACCTCCCTTCTGGCTGGCTAGCTGGATGCTGCAAATGCTGCTTGGAATGAAACAGAAGCTGCCTTCCCCCTGTCTACGGAGGTGTACTGCAGCGTCCAAGAGGCTTCCGCATGCGACCTTCCCCCCCCAAACACACACAGTTTACGCATACACACACAGTTTACGCATACACACACAGTTTACGCATACACATACAGTTTACGCATACACACACAGTTTACGCATACACACACAGTTTACGCATACACACACAGTTTACGCATACACACACAGTTTACGCATACACACACAGTTTACGCATACACACACAGTTTACGCATACACACACAGTTTACGCAT